ATTCTTTTAATATTATGCCATTTGCCAAGTATTAATTGGCCTGAATATTTTTAAAGATTAAGTATGAAACTAAAAGCTGCAAATAATAACCAACAATAAGTTGTCAGTGGGATAAGATACTAAATCATTTAAGTAAAGATAGAGATTTGAAACTTGACAATTATGAATGGAGTAAAATGAGTTGAGAGTGTGGTTATACAAATAAAAAATAGTAAACATTATAATATGTTTTAAATAAATCGATAATTTTATTTTGAAAACATTAATTTTTGATTAATTTAAAAGATGTATATTATATTCTGATTAATGATAATGATATTTTGATTAATAAATTGTTATTATTTTACTATTGTAACAAAAAATTATATATCAAATATGTGGTAATAACTGAATATATATATATATATATATATATATATATATATATATATATATATATATATATATATATATATATCAAACAAGTTAAAATGGTACAATGAAATACATTGACAACAGTATCAATAAAAGAAATGGAACAATCATTACCTTATACCGTAAAGAATTTATGTGATATAAGACTTTACATAGAATTTTAAATAAAAATTTATATATAGATATATGTATATATAAAATTCTATTAGACTGCCATTGACTTAAAATTCAGTGTCCGTCCTATGTTGACATATGTCCCGCGAAATTTATAGCACAGCGCTACGGGTTTGCGCCTTGAATTTGAACCCCATTCCATGGCTTCCGCCACAGCTCGTTGCCGTTCTTCCCTGCTAACTTCTTCATCATCATAGCTTTCACCGTCGGATTCCACATAAGCCGAACTGTAATTGGTCACGTTCAGGGCCGGCTCAAGACATGTGCCATATGGGCCTGGGCACAGGGCATCATATTTAAGGGGGCATCATTCTAATATTTTGCCTTCCCAGCTATTACCTCTTTTGCTTCTACCAGACACGACAACGCTTATTTTGCTTGTAAAATTGAATCCGAGATTGAGTTGTTTTCAGTTTCTGGTTCTTCGAGATTCTTCGCATTATTCTATGATTTACTTCGTGTTTGGATGCATTTCTGCTTTTCCGGTTCTCGCATGTCAGCTTTCTAATAATTTATGTAGTGAGACAAATTTCTTGGATCTACCTGGTTGATCTATCCAGTCCTCTTCGAAATTCCCTCATTTGTCTATTATATAATTCCTATTATTTATGGATTTTAAAGATATTATAGGTTTTTGTTGAATTGATTAGATACCTTATTGTATGACCGAATTTTTTTTTTATTTGAGTTTTGTTTAAATCAGAGGTTTATTTTTAAATGTTCAATATGAATTTCCTGTTTGGTCTTACCGTCTTAGCATTGAATTGAAGCGATTAGGTGTTTCTTTTTAGTTGTCCTTGTTGATTTTGATATTAATGAATTTCTCACACTCCATTATCAAAATACTTTCAAGGAATCTAGAATGTGCCTCAATGTTTTTTACTTTGGGGTCTGTTTGTCCAAAGAATCATGTTCACTTTGAAGATTTTGGAAATGGTATTAGTTTGTTCTTGCCTAATGGTTTTTAGTTAGGCATTTGGTTGGATCAGGTGGGGCTTAAACCGGTTCCTGTTTTTGGAAAACGAAATGCAATAGTCCGTATGCCATTTGATTTTATTTTTTGAAACGAGACTTGACTAGTGAGAGCAGAATTTTAACATGCAGCGAATTATAGGTATGGAACCCAATTATTTTTCAACCAACCGGACTCAAAGATTAAAAGCAAATATAAAAGCGACGGGTTCATAAATAATTCAAAAAAGCATGAGGCCTGTGGGGATGAATGTTTGCAAATGTTTGCAAGTGCTAGCTAATGTTTGCATGTGCTTTCTGGATCTTGGATCATGAGATTTCATTTTCTATTTTGCTAGCAGCCTAGCAGTAAATAGCTTTCCTGTTTAATTTATCATCTTTTATTTTCGTTCAATACAGTTTTTAGAGTGATTTCTTCTGATTATTTTGATTTCATCATTAATTTTCAGTTGATTGTGTGAAAGAACAAGTGAGAAAGAACAAGTCAACAACATAAATTTCGGTTTGTATTAGCATTGATATTGTTTGACGATAATTTTTATTACATTTTTGTTTTAAAAAAATTTATATTTTGTCTAATATACATTACAAGTATAGGGGCATAAAAATTATTATCTCGCCCAGGGCATTAAAACTCATTGGACCGGCCCTGGTCACGTTTATTTTAGTGTTTGCATCCGGATCATTTCCAAGGCAACTCAAAGCCGACACCACATCTCTAATCAAGGGGCGTATCTCGGCTTCCTCTTGCAGGCACATGGCCGCTATTGCCACGGCTTGTTGCAAGCCTATTAAGGGGAAATCGCCACCGAGAAGTGGATCGGAGAGTTCCAGGAACCTACCCTTGAACATTGGTTGAGCCTGGTAATGGTTGAACATTAGAAAAGAATGAATAAGACACTGATTATTAAAAGAAAACCTGAGGGGAAGGTGTTGGAAAAAAAGTGAATTTACCCATATAACAAGATTCTGTTCTTTGTTTGGTCTCGTGGTGTCTATGGCTCTTCTTCCGGTGATTAACTCCAACAAGAAAACTCCGAAACTGTAAACATCGGATCTCACCGTTATTTATCCGGTTGTTTGATACTCTGGGGCACAATATCCATATGTTCCCATGACCCTGGAAGATACATGTGTGTTGTCCCCTAGAGGCCCGAGTTTGGCTAACCTGAAATCAGAGAGTTCGGCGTTGAGTTCTTTATCTAGCAAGATGTTTGAGGACTTCAAATCGCGGTAAATGCCAGGAGGATTCGCCTTATTGTGCAAATATTTGAGGCCTTTAGCAGCATCTACTGCAATTCTCATTCTGGCATACCAGTCCAATGCATACCCTTCCTATGAATTCATATATGAAAGCAAAAAGAGGAAAGTATACCAAGTAGATGGTCCTCAAGAGATCCAAATGGCATGTACTCATAAACCAAAAGCCTCTGATCGCCATCGGAGCAATATCCGATAAGATTTACGAGCTTTGGATGGTGCAACAGGCTTAGCATCAGAACCTCAACAAGAAATTCTTTGATTCCTTGCAATCCATTTCTGTCAAGCTGCTTTACGGCTACAATCTACAATGCAAGTGAACCCAAAGTGTGTGACTGAAAGAATAAAAAAGAAACTTGAATGCAAGACATGGAAGAAGTATGCAATAACTGGCCAGTTTTATCAAGCTTTCCCTTGTAAACTCGCCCAAAACAGCCTTCCCCTATCAAACATTCTTGTCTAAGGTTCTGGGTTGCCGTCGGCAATTGACGGAAGGTGAACGTTTCCACTGCAATGTTGTTGTTACCGGTCTCTCGAGTACCAACGGCAGTAGTCTTTGCAGGCTCAGTTGAAGTCTTTGGTTTAGGAATGTGCTCTGTTTGAAAAGAAAGATGATACATTCAGAACCTCATGCACTTGCAAAGGAAAAATGGCTGAAACGTGACATTACAGGGGGTTGTTGCTGGGGAAGAAAGGCTTCAACTTGAGGAGGAATTTTAGCACATGGCTGACCACCATTTCTGCAAGAACTTGTTTGCCTTTGAGCCGTCTTCTTTTCTTAGGAAGTAAAACATGAAAGACAACCCATTTTTCTTTGGATTCTGAATCAAATAAACTCTTTTCCTTAAAACTTTATTACTCAGAACTTGGTGAGATAACCCCAAAGTGTTGCTATTTATTCACAAATGCTTCTAAAATATCTTCTATAACAGCTTGGATTAATGTTACAACACATCACCCTATGTTAGCTCCTAACAAAGTAAAAAAAAAAAAACTAAACTTTCCTAATTAGAAATTAGAAGATGAAAAAATGTAACTAGTAGTAACAAATTAACTATACAAGGTTCCATTAGGAAATCCCAGACAAGATACAAGAAAAAGAAAAAACCTTCATGGAACAATAAAGTGATTGAAAGAAATAGTGACCTTAGAATTGGAACAAAAAGCAAGCGAAACGTTCTTATTGTTTGTTAGAAATGAAACGGACAAAAATGAAAAGAAATGGCTATAAATAGCAAACCCTAGAAGGTTATGGTTAGCAAGCACAGCACCAAGAGAGAATTATTTAATCCATTCAAAAACAAAGCTAGCAATACGCCATGAAAGTGCCGAAGTTTATCATGATCGAATCTGTCACCAGATCTGTTAAATTACGTTCATGAAGGATGAGACAATGACAGAATTCTGAAATTAATAGAATCTGAGGTTACGAGCCTGCATGCAAAGTTCAAAGTGGAGAGAACATTCGACAACACCGGGGCAATTGAACAATTCAGAATCAAATTAACAACCAGGGAAGTGAAGACCTGCGTGACAGGACGAACATCCCAATGGACAGAATTCGGTTGCATAAACATCCCAATGGACTTTCTGTTTTGCAGCGTGTTAAGGAGAAATTTTATAGTCAAAACACCTTAACAAGAGAAAATGGTACATCAATACATCATTTTTGAACTATAAAAATATGGCAGCACCAACAATCATGCCTGCAGTTCAAAGACGCACCAAATTTAATGGAGGAGTCGGTTACAATTATGTCTTTCAAGTTTTCAGCTTTTGGGTGATTATGAGAATTGAACTTTATTCTAACGTGAAACGGTTTTATGAAAATGAGGTCTCTCAGATCTCTATTAGATTTTAACAAGAACTCGGTGCAAGAATGCCAACCTTACCTGTTAAAGAAACCATTTTTTGGGCATAGAAAAAAGAATCAAACAATGGCATGAGATGTAGGTATACATCTAAGCACCTTTGAAAGAATGGAGATCATAGCAGCCAAACATTATTTGTACATCGGAATGCAAAGAACAAGATACTAACTGTAGCCAACAATATACCTGGCAACAAACTGAATTGCTGAATATGATCAGTTTGTCCAACAGATAGCCCTGCAGCTCTGAAAATCAGTTAAGAAAAGGGGAAAATCAGAATAATTAGAATGAAAAGCTTCCACTTAAATTGCCACAAAGAAGAACAATAATGTCATTATGCAGGGCTTGCAAGACATTAATGACTTGGCATGAATCCATATATGTAGGGGGAAAGCACTGAAAGAATTGATAAAGGGAAGGGAATTGAGAGAAAAACAAAGGAATTCAGGGAGAAGCAGAACACATCTAAGGAAGACCAAAATACTCACAGAGCATAAAATCTTTCCAGAGGGAAGGACAGCCAGTAAGGTAGACCGAGCATCCCAAGACTAGAAAACTGTAAATATGAACTGATTCCAGATTCTCAATTTAGTTTCAGAACTCCCTGGCCCACTTGAAATACACATTAAGAAAAGAGTAATCCTTGAAAGTTTCACTATGCATCTGATTAAAGAAGAAAAACATAAAACATACACAAAAATCAAGTACCAGTGTCACAAATGATTATGTGATTTTCAGAAGTTGTAACACATGATATAAGACCAGCATATGGGAGCTCCTCTCGTGATAAGTTGGCATCACTTCGCTGTTGCAACAGATAATCAACCATCATTTTCAAGAGGGATACTTTCTCCGAGATAAAGTGTCTGCAGAACTCCAAAGTATACGGAAGTCCTTCATAGAAATGAAATAAGAAATGTTAGACGGACTCTGCGGATTAAAATACAAATAATGAACATACAAAAGATAACTTTGAACCTTTGACAGCTTCTTTAATCGCTCCTGATGAAAAATCCATAACCCATAAATTCTTAAAGCTGCAAACACCATTAAGTAGAATCATAAACATCACTTATGTGGCCTACTAATTAAAGACATTTGCAACAATAAAAACATGGATTGCTGGTAACAACTATTGGAAGCACAATAAGAAGATAGATGTTTTTCATTACCTTGAAGTTAAAAACAGCAAATAAGCAACTAACAAAATTTAAAAAATGAATAAACAAATTAAAAAAAAAGTCTCTGAAGAATAGGTTCAACAACCATGGAGCTTTAAGGAGTGTGGCAAGAATTCTAGGGAAAAAGTTCCAAAAGTGTTGATAAGAGAAGTACAATAAGAAGACTTACCTTCGACTGGTAATTAAAAAATTATTATCCCCCGAGTTTATCAGATGCCAAGGACACATTAGTGCCCAGGAATCACACTCATAGAATTTCACATCAGCATCACCGGAAAAACATAGCTTGATCCTGATCCAGGTCCACAAACTAGTGCTTCTCTTGTTGCTAGATGTTGGATAAATTGTTTCCACAACCCTTATTTCCAAATCAGCTCTCCTGATGGCATGATTCTTAACAAATGGGACCAAACCAAAAATATTAATTAAAACTAATAAAAATTCCATTGGCGTATCACAAAGACATTATATACATCAGACCAGCAACAAGAAGGCAATAAAATATATTCTGAGTGACTTGTTGGAAAGAATTACAAAGAATTCATTTCAAAATTTCAATCTACAAAGCCTAATGTTGAGAGCCTAAGATGCACATTATATACATCAAGAGAACTACCAGAAACATAAATTTAAATTTTGTTTCTTGCCAGCATCTTAACCAATCTTGTCACACAGAGATTTTTAAACCATGAGACCTTAGTGCCTTAAATATAAGCTACAATATGTAATCATGTAAAGACCCTAAGACCATACCCCAGAATCTATAATATAAAGACAATCTTCCGTATCATGATAAAAGGAAGCAGCACGGAGAAGCAACTTTGCAAACACGAATTCACCATCCTCAAAACCTGGGCATGTACCTATCTGACATATAAAAAATTTAAGCTTGAATCTAAACTGTTTGCACCTTATTTTAGCTTATATATAAAGGGAAATACTAAATAAACAATAACAAGGATATAAGAGATCTTTGAACCCGAAATTTCACATCCCTAGGCAGAAATTATATTAGCACATAGAGCACAAAACTTATTTAGCATCCATTGAAGACTATTCAACAGTTTAGCACGAAAAGGAGAAATTATTTCCTGCACTCTAACATAGATCATTCAACGAAAAAAACTTAAAATACCAAGTGTAACACCCCCAACCCGTATCCGACCCGGATACGAGTCCGAAGTGTCACATTGACTTTTCAAAAATTTATTCGTATAAAATAGTGAGTAATTTAAAAACTTTGATAACATTTAACTTATTCAAAACGTTTACAAAATATATCAGAGTTCATACAATTTATATCTTTAGACTACATGCCAACTACACTCTATAACCAGTACATATATTTTCTGATCTGACATTTGGTAAGGAGAACTGACCTGTCTTGCTCCGCATTACTCTTTACTCTTCTTGAAACCTACGTGTGAAACAATCACACGCTAAGTCGAAGACTTAGTGAGGCATAACAACTTATAATGCACTTATAACATATATCAATACATGCATGTTCTGTTCTATCATGTTATACCAATTCCATGCTTTCTTCGTATCATATAAAATCATATCATTTCTATAACATTTATCATACCACTAACATATATTTGTTCATATCTCTGGATTAGCCCATGTACATATGTGAGAACTATCAATATGTGAGTCTATAGAGGTTGTGCACTAATGCTGTCACCACAGCTCGTATAATTGCACCGAAGTGCCGCGTAGAATTGCACCGTAGTGCCATATAATAATGTCCATAAGGACCACATATTATTCCTTAAGAATCATATACATATACTAGGGATCAAGTATGTGTCTTTCAAGACTTCACACATGTTCCAAAGAATATACATATGTCCCGAAGGACCGCGTAGACCCTCGACTCTTGGCATGCCAACTATACCCCTAGCTCTCATGACACATAACATAGGCGTTATCATTTATTTCATTTCAAATATTCACATAAACTTGTAATTCACTTTCACATATCACGTATCACATAGCTTCTTTTCATATTATCACATAGTCACATAGTTCACTTACACGTAGATCATTTCCATATAATTCACATGTCACATATATCATGTTTTCATATAATTTCTATCCTTTCTCACCCAATCACATTTATTCATGTAAACATACTTATCATATCTTGTTCACATAAGATCATATACTTCATATAACATATAGAAACACCTAGAACACTTTCACGTAGCTTATATCAATTTTCAGAGTCCTTTCATATTACCTGATGACATATATCATATAGATATATAATAACTGATATCATATTATCTACCTTATGCTCCATTTCTTTGTATCCCCTTTTTCATATCAGCATACATTTAAATATTCTTATATGTCCTATCAATATCCTATAAACTTACTCATATTCTCATATATCATATTTTAATATAATTTGTATAGTAATACTCTATAATTGTATCATATAATGATTTTACCCAAGTACTCCTTTATAAAGTTTATATTACATGTTCAATTAGTCTCATGCTATCTTATAAATAATTTCCATTTATTTTATATCATTTTCCTTTTCCACTCACATAAACCATCTATTTATTTAGTTCAATTTCTCATGACTTCCCCAATACTCTTTAATAAAACTTTGTAGCTCTTCACTATAATACATAAACCATAGTTTCCTTTAATTTATCAATCTTCCCTATATTACTCATGTATCCTTATTTATGCCCTCGAATTCATACTATTCTCTTAGAGTCTCCTAACATTTCTCGTATAATCACTTATACCATATCATATAACTTATACTTGATTATCTTATTCTCTCATGTTCATTTCATTTCTTATGACTCTATCATATAACTTATCTCATGTTCTTCCATTATTACATATTAAAGTCTTACATACATCATATAGCATATACAAAGCATATCATTATCTTTAGTCATGCATACATACAATCAATGTAATACAGATAATCACATATAATTATAACCACACATAATCATGTCCATGACTTCATGCATATTACTCTAGGAAATAGACTCATCGCAAGTCTTATTTTCATTAAACACTACATATCACTAGTATGCACTCACCTGGCCTCACTAGTCCATTCCAATCTCTTATCTTCCCTTTTTATCGATCTTACTTGTCAATGATTCCGGAACTCGTTTAGGCTCGATATCTACATAGTAATTCATTGATACTTATCAGTATACTAATTAGTATATTCTAAACTATCATTTCTTAGGCTAAAAGCAAAGCCATTTTCATCTTTTAATGGAGGCATGCATCGATGCACTCCTGATGCATCGATGCACTGAGGGCATTCGATGTTCATTTTATTAGAAATGCATCGATGCACTCCTTATGCATCGATGCACTGACGACATTCGATGTTTGTATTAAAATTAATGCATCGATGCACCTTCAACAAATTTCTGGGATTTATCATTGATGCATCGGTGCATAATGAATGTGCATCGATGCACATTACCCAGAAATGTCATTTAAGCACGAAAATCTCTTCTTACCCTACTTGACACTTTATATTTCCCCTCTTTTAATATCCCTAACTTGCATACTCTTACTTAAACTAATTATTATCCATTAAATACTTCTAAAACTTCTAAATCTAATTCTCCATGTAGAATTTAAGAATCTAACCCAAATTCCAACATGTTCTAATTTGAATTCTAACACCTCATACTTCTTAGTTAGCTTACTGACAAGTCAAATTTCACTTCTAATTCTTATTAAGAACCCTATTCCAAAATTTTACTTTTCTACTTCCTTTATTTAATTCTTCATACACTCCTCATCTTGTGGTTTTAAGATAATCTAAGCTTTCCTTAAGCTTAGTTATCAACTAAAGATCAATAAGAAACCTTAAATTCATCAAGAATTTGATCACAAGAAAACTCACCTTTGCTTGGCTTCACATGTGAAGAAGAAGAAGAAAGAAATAAGAGAACTCTGGAAACCTCTAAACTTTCTTTTCCTTCCTTCCACGTGTATCTATATATACCATATATATTATTATTATATTTTTCTTTTCCTTGCAAATGACCATATTATCCTTTCATTCCTCATTCTTTTCAATTTGATCTTACACCTCATTTCTCATATAAGTCTTTAAACCACTCAATTATTTTAATTTAAAATTACCAAATTTTGAAACCTTACGATTTAGTCACTAACCCGGTATTGAGGATGTTACACCAAGAATGACCTGACGGAGAATCGACCACCACCAATGCCCTTGCAAACAAGGTGGCCATTGCCCCTGTGTGAGGCCAGGGTAGATCTGTATAGCAGATGGTCACCTCCATAATCTAAAAAAATCGATAATAAATTGATTTAAAAAACAGAAGGAAAAATGATCATTTTGATTGAAATGCTGAACAGTAACCAGTAAAATAGAAGAGGAAAAAGGATAAACCTAGAAATTAAGAAGGGGGAATGGAAACTAAAAACCTAACTTTAGAAACATTGATGATTTATCTTCCAAGAGACGTGCCGGAGTATCAAACTCTGCAACTCGACCTGCAAAAAAGTTCTCGATTTATTCGGAGAACTTCGAGACTTTCAGTGAAAATAATACTGAAGAATCCTTAATTTAAAAATGAAGATTTGAAGACATAGCTTTACATACCATCACTCAACACCAAAACAAGATAACTTTCGATTATGGTTGGAATATGATGTGCAATAGTGCAAACGGTGCAGTTCATGAACTCTGTTCTGATGATCTTCTGTATGAGATTGTCTGTGGCAGTATCAACCAATGATGTCGCTTCATCGAGCATGAGTATTCTTGCTTGTTTGAGCAAAGCCCTGCCGAGGGAAACAAGTTGTCGCTGCTTCACACTCCAGTTATCTCTATTTTCTAAAACTGCGTATTTTACACCAAAGAAAAATGACCTATCAACAACATGCAATTTCAAAGGGCATTTTTGCCTTTCATTCTCTAGGCATTTCTTTTTTCTAGTTCAGATGATGCATTAAAGATGTATGAGTCTCTGAGAGGGACGTTGCAAACCAGGTGTATCAAGCTTTTGGTCTTTCTCACGAACAATATCTCCAAGCTGAGACTTATCAAGAGCCTGTGACGATGAAAAATTCAGCGCTAGTCATTCGAACACAATAATATTTGAAGATTCAACATGACATGAGCATGGTAAAACGAAAAAAGAAAAAAAATTGACGTAGAAAATTGTATAAATGTTCTATGAAGTAGACGTACGTCCCCAGAG